AATGTTATGTACCTAGAGACTGCCCATTGAATAGTACGTTAGTACAGCTTCATTTATTTCATTTGAAGGCATTAAAATAGTTTAAAGCAAATTCTTAAAAACTCAAAAGTTCTAGGGATACCCCTTGGTTTCATCACAGATGATCTTAGTGTCTGATACTATTCTTCTAAATATGAACTACCTAAACGAAGTCAAGGGTGAATTCTGGCTGAAGAGCATCGTTTCCCCTCCAAATTGCCAGGTGTGGCAGGTCTCCTGGCAGAAATGTTTGCATTGGATAAGTCTTGCTGGTTGGGTTTCTTGGAGCTCCAGGCTGGAAATATCCGCTACCCCAGAGCAGAGCCGGGTGTATCACGGTGGGTTCTTTGGCTTCCAGCAACTCTCCTCTCTTTATCTCCTCAGACCCAGTTGTGAAGGAGCAATCCCAGCCTGGCTCTGACAGCCCTGTGCTCTCCAGTAGCCTCACAGCCACACGATGAAGTTTGGGTAACAACGGGTAATTCCAGAGGTTTACAGATAAAAACACACCCTTCTGTCACCTAAGGAAGGGATGAACCCAGCCCCTCTCTGCTCAGCAGAAGCCTCATCTTGAAGAGAGCTAAGGCTTAGCTGCCCTCTCTCTTCAGCACTTGTGGCTATCCCAACTTTCTTTGTGTGTTACCAAAGTCCTGATCCCAATGGCTGTGTAAGATTTACATGGATCCGAGGGTATCCAAAGGTCTGCATGACTGACTCTAGGATGATTCTGCAGTTTCCTAATCTGCCTTTCCTAACCTCCCGTTGGGCCACCTTCGTTTTCTCCCCTCCCATGTGCACTGGGATGTAACCTGTCTGCCTAGAGACAGACCCTGCTCGGGTCATTAGCGAGTGCAGACCTGTGCACGGGGAGGCCTCCCCTCCTCTTCGGTGGTTTGGGCCCTTCACCCCCCACAAACAAGAAGTCTTGGTAATGAATTGAGTCGGTCAAGTTAATCTGCATCAAGACCCATTCAAAACAGGCAGCCATTGAGGGAAACCCAGTTACTTTTTTCCCTTGTAGGGAACTGCCAGCCTGAGCTTGAAGAAAAGTTGTTCTTTGAGACGGAACAAGAGCTTTTTTCTAGTGAGGCATGTTCTTATTGCTAAAAAAAAGCCAACGGGGCCATTCCCATCAATGTCAAATTTAGCATTGCTTTGACAACAGCAGGTTTGAATATGTGAAGAAGCAAAGAGGAGGAGTTTCTGCCAAGAAAGCAGTCAGATTCTGGAAGCAGAAACCGGGGGTCGCTCAGAATTGGCCTGCAACAAATGTGCCCTGTCGCATTTGCACATGTCCAGCCCTGCCTTGGAGCCCTTGGGGTGCAGTCCTCTCCCTGGGGGTGGGTGTGTGAGATGCTCCTTTCGGTTTCTTCCCCCTCCCCCTCCCCCCATTGGGTCTCTTTTGAGCCCTTTAGTTCAACCCCACCTTTGGGGAGATTATATTGTGTGATTCTGGTGACTTCATAAACCCAAATTCACACATTTTTGGTCACCATGCCTAAATGCAGAATTTTTTTTCTTGATTACATTGTCAGATATTTAATTTTAAATGATGCAGTTAGACTGTTTCTATTTGAAGCATCTGTTTACATTCCATATCCCAGTAATGATATGTTGGCATTGACATCAGGTCAGGTCCATTTGTACGATTCACTGGAACCAATAAATCTCTATGTACAAACTTGTGTTTTCCTTCCTCTCATCTCCGAAGCTTCACTGAAGGGAAAGGCCGGTTTGGGTTTTGCGTGGGGTTTTAAGAGGAATGTCCTCCATTTAGCATTTAGCTGAGTTTGGCAGACCAATTCGGTAGCTGCTTTCCTGGACAGTCCACTCTGGTTCCCAGCTATTTGGAGTTTCTAAAGGGTGCAAGAAGGAAAAGTCTTCCGCAGGCTCTCAAAGTAGTCTGAGCTGTGGCTCTTTCTCTCTTGCCTTTGTGGTTTGCAAGTTTGTTTTAAAACAAAAACACCTTTATTAAAGATGTATAAATTCCTGATGTTATTAATACATTTATAAGTTTCTTTTTTTCCCCTCTGCCTGGGAAGAATGAGAATGAAACTGCTATCTCCTGTAGCTCAGGCTGTTTGAAGCAGCCCTTATTTGTGTAGTCAAGTGTTTCAGGATCTAGAACAGTGGTCACCAACCAGTCGTCCGTGAGAAAATTTTGGTGGTCCGCAGAGAAATGTCACCCCAAAGCACACACACACACCCCAGAAATTAATCCAGGCTGCACGGGAACACAAGGCTGTGCCACCCACATGGTCCCCAGGAACGCAAGGCTTGTGTCGCTTGCGTTGCGAAGAACAGGAGGGAGGGGGGGGAGGGAAAAAAGGGTGGAGGGGGGAACTTGCCCCACTCGTTTGGCCTGGCCACCGGGCTGCTTCTTTCCGCTTCTTTCTTCTTCTGCTTTTGGCTGCACGCAAGGAAAGCAGCAAAAGTCTTCCTTTCTTTCCCCAAACTCCACCAGAGATGAGTCTTTGGGACCCTGCAAGGCCTCCTGCTCCAAGAGGCTGCGCCAGCAAAGACTCATCTCTGGCAGAGTTTGGGGGAGAGAAAGAAAGACTTCTGCTTTTCCTTGCATGAAGCCAAAAGAGTCTCTTCTTTCTCTCCCCCCCCCTCCCCCCCCCCCCCCCGAACAGAGCTGGAGACGGTATCCTGCGATCCCAAATAAAGAACGATCGATCGGTAGGAAAACGGGATGGGGAATTTTCCTGCAGACTTTTTGTGGGATTTTCCCAGGATCTCTGGTCTGTGAGATTTAAAATTATGAGTTTGGTGGTTCCTGAGGTCCAAAAGGTTGGCGACCCCTGGACTAGAAGGCTAGGGTGATGGGGCACTTTGCAAGCTTTGTGCACTCTTGGAACATTCAGGAAGGATGCAAGACTTCCGCCTTTTCGCCAGCTCTTTGCTCCCAGAGCTTCGAACAGGGGGTCTCCAACCTTGCCAACTTTTCAGACTTGTGGACTTCAACTCCCTTTGCTAGCTGAGGAACTCTGGGCGTTGAAGTCCACAAGTCTTAAACTGGCCAAAGTTGGAGCCCCCTGGCTTAGAAGCACCACCAGGGGATAGCTTGCAACCATTCATTTGGAAACCGTTCAAAGTTAAAACAGGACTAAAATAAGTGACTTGCAACTGATTTTCACACTTAACGGCCGTTGCAGCATCCCCCATGGTCACGTGATTAAAATCCAGTCGCTTGATGACTGGCTTATATTTATGACAGTTACAATGTCCCATGATCCCCTTTTGTGACCTGACAAGCAAAGCCAGATTCAGTGAACAACTGTGTTACTAATTTAACACCTGCAGTGATTCACTTAATAATTATGGCAAAGCAGGTCATAAAATGGGTGAAATTCACTTAACAACTGTCTCACTTAGCAACAGAACTTCTGGCTTCAGTTGTCATATGTGAAGGAGTTCCTGTAAAGGGATACAGACAGTGTTCCTCTTGGGGAAGTCGAGAGGCCCTTGGCTTTGTAGGGTCCCTGTTCAAAGGATGCATTTGCAAAACTAGCAGCGGGAAGCAAAGCTCCCAGGTGCCCTCAGTCCCAGTACAATAACACATCTACTGCATCCTATTTATTTCCTTAAATGGAAAGCGATTTTCTGGGGGAGCTGCACTCTGTCTTTGTGTGTCTGTGCTGTTTCTGCAGAACTCACAACCCTCCTGTCCCTTGCAGGTGTTGTCCCACAGAAAAATTCAGCAAAAGGACCTGCTTCTTTTAATAGAAATGAATGGGTTGAGGAGGGGTTCAGTCCAGTGGTGGGATTCAAAATTTTTTGCTACCGGTTCAAATTTCCGCTACCAGTTCTCCAGAACTGGTCAGAACCTGCTGAATGCAACCTCTGGTTCAGTCCTCATTGGGGCTAGAAACACTTAACTTGGAGGGAGGGCCCATCTCTGCTTGCTTTGGGCTTGCTTGTTTGTGTATCTTGATGAGGTATCCTCATAGCTCACCTGGGTATCAGAGGCAGCATAAGCTGCTGCAAATAACAGGAAGGGCTACTTCAAATGCCTTCAAATTAAAGAGAAAACCACACCAGGAGTAGAAATCGTAGTGGAGGCCAATCTGCGCCAGGACTTTTGAAAGTAATCGGCCTGGACACCTGGCAGCAGTTCAGCCTGCCTGGTTGCAGGTGTTGGATGAGATGCCACTGCAAGGCCTCTGCCTGGCTAGCTGCCCATTCCAGGCGTCCCGGCAGGGAATGAAGCCACAGAAAGTCAGGGTTGGGCCCAGCCAAGCACCCTTGACCCCTAGGCAAGAGGCAGAAGCAGCCCCCCCTGTGCATTGGTGGTGGTTTTATGTGACCCAGGCCCCCTCCTTCCCCACCTCCCCTCCCGCTCATAGGAGCCAGCTGTTGGGGCAGCTTTTGCTGCCAACATTATTTCCAATGACAAAAATGGGTAACATTTATCAGGTCGAGTTATCCCACATGGATTGTCCCGTGGCGCGTTGTCCTAGATCAGGGGAATCTCCAACCTTGACCACTTTAAGACTTGTGGACTTCAACTCCCAGAGTTCCTCAGCCAGCTTTGCTGCTGCTGCTGCAGGAGAAACGTGCTGGGCGAGAGAGCAGCCCCCTCCCTCAGGCTGCGCAGCTGCAGAACGAGGTACTTTTCCATTCAGAGGAGAAAACAGGGAGGCTGCTCACCCTGGGGAATTCTGGGAGTTGAAGTCCTCCAGACTTAAAGTGGCCAAGGTTGGAGACCCCTGCTTTGGAGGCCCGTCAGCCCCGTCATTCGGCTCCGCGAATCCCTCCCACTTTCTGAATTTCGGGGGCGGGGCTTGTGAGCCCCTCGTCCCGCCCCCAGTTGCCGCGGCGACAAGAGGTCTCCCACAACACAGAGCGGGAGGGAGGCGAAACGAGTCCCGTTTGAAAGTAGTCCGTCTCCTGGCGACGCCACCCCCCCCCCCCCCAAGGCGGCCGGCGCTGGCGGAGCGGTTCCTCCACCTCCTCGGACGCAGGACGCAGGAGGCGCTGGTTTCCCTCCGCGCCCGGGGCCTCGGCGTGAGGGAGGCGCGCGCGAGGCGGCTGACGGGCGGCCGGTCGTGAGGCGCCCCGGCGGAGCAGCCCCGCGGCGACGGGATGTTCAAGAACACGTTCCAGAGCGGCTTCCTGTCCATCCTCTACAGCATCGGGAGCAAGCCGCTGCAGATCTGGGACAAGAAGGTGCCGGCCGGTGGCGGGGCCCCGCGGGCAAGGGCCCGGCCTCCTCGGCCTTGGCGCAGCCCGGTTGAGCGGGCCAGGCCGCGCGGGGTGGGGGAGGCTGCCGGCGGAGGGTCCGGCCAGGCGGGCGACGGTTGCTCCTCCCGCTTCCCTCGCAGGTGCGGAATGGCCACATCAAGCGGATCACCGACAATGACATCCAGTCGCTGGTGCTGGAGATCGAGGGCACCAACGTCAGGTAGGAAGCGGCTCCACTGGGCGTCCCGGCCCCGAAGGCCTTTCCGGCAGGAGCTGCCTCGGGACTTTCGCCTGGGCTTTCCCGCTCCGGCCTCTGCTCGGCGGGCAGGCCGGGATTTCGGCAGCTGGGGGGTGGGGAAGGGGGGTGTTGGGGAGGGGAAAGGGGCAGGTCGGCTGGGGGGGGAGGGTCGCCGGTTGCAGCCTTTCCTTTGCTTCCCTCCCCCCGCAGCACCACGTACATCACGTGCCCTGCTGACCCAAAGAAGACGCTGGGGATCAAGTTGCCCTTCTTGGTGATGATCATCAAAAACCTGAAGAAATACTTCACCTTCGAAGTGCAGGTTGGTGGGCAGAGGGGGGCAGAATCCCGGCTCCCCCCCCTCGGGGTGGGGCTGGGGAGGGTCAGTGCTGGCTCCCCCCCCCCCCAGGGCACCTCCGTACTAGCGGAAGGTCTCCTTCTCTTAGGTGCTGGATGATAAAAATGTGCGCCGGCGGTTCCGGGCCAGTAACTACCAAAGCACCACCCGGGTGAAGCCTTTCATCTGCACCATGCCCATGCGCCTGGATGATGGCTGGAACCAGATCCAGTTCAACCTATCGGACTTCACTCGCCGGGCCTATGGCACCAACTACATTGAGACCCTGAGGGTCCAGGTAGGGAGTCTGAGGGCTTCATTCCTAGTGGCGCCCATGAAGTTACTTCCTCCTTAAAAAGCCTTGATAGACCCAAGGAAAGATGAAAAAGATCTCTCTCTCTCTCTCTCTCTCTCTCTCTCTGGAGAGCTGGTCCTCCTGAGTAATTGTTGGGTAATTCTTCCAATCAAGTTGTGTTATAAAACACTTTCTATAGCTATCTCCTTTGTTCTGTTAATTCGTAAACTAAGAAAGTGTGCTTCTGTTCAAGCCAAGGAGTCTTCTGAGGAAAACTACAGGAGAGAACATCTCTCTTAAGGGACCACAGCCTCTTCATTTGAGCCAATCTTGGTTGGGTTTTGAGGATGGCATTTTCAACGATGATTTGAACTCCCAAGATATCAAATAGACACAAAATAATGCATAAAGAAGCAAGACTTGTTTTTCGTAGTTAGAGGGATGAGAGTCTGTTATTTCACACAGACATGATATTCTTCGATTAAAATCGGAATTCCAATTTTTGGGGGAATCGCCCCCCCATCCTTTCCCCCCCCCCCCCCTCCTTCCCCTCCCCTTGGATGCCCCCTGAGTCAGGAGTTGCTACTGCCGGCGCAGCTCCGCACGGTTTCAGTCCCGCGTTGCCTCGGGAAGGGAAAGGCAAAAAGGAAGAGCCGCGGCGGCACTTTGCCACAGCAGCAGCGGCACCGGAGGCTCAGGCACAGCGGCTCCCGGTTTTGCCTTTCCCTTCCCGAGGCAACGTGGGACTGGAGTCACGCAAAGCCACGCCGGCGGTAGCAACTCCTGACAGCCCCAGCTGGATACCTGAGCGGAGCCCGCTGAGCGGCAGGAAAAGGGAGCTGGGCAGCCACAGACCAGCTGTCTCTCCGTCTGACGGCTTCGGCCGAATCTCTGCCTCCCAGCGCGCTTCGTCCTCCGCCCACAGGATTCCCCGGCCCTTTGCCAAGTGGGTTTTCCGCCCTAGCCCGGCAGGGCCCTCGCTGCCTTCCCCTCGCCTGGCCGGCCGGGCTCCTTGGGCAACCAAACTTGGAATTGCAGCCCACGCAGAACAAATGAATTCAAAGTGAACATCTCAGTTGATAGGATTAGGTAGAAAATGTTTGTTATTAGAACTCATAGTAAATGTTTGTAATTTGTCGAGCAACACAGAATACCCATTTTTCCCGTAAAAAAAATCAGGCAATTGTCTTTTGATAGCGGTGAGTCAAAAACTTCAGAATTGATCAAAGGATCTAGAGCTTTTCATCAAAGGACATTTCCAGTGAACTTTGTTTCTCAATTTCTCAACACGGATACGGGTAGAAGAAACCCTAGAATGGACAAGAGGTTCTTTGCGCTCAGGAGCTCTGGGTCCACCTGAAAGGGAGCTCTTGAAGGGCAGTGGATCTGCAGGGCTGCCACTAGGAGCTTGCTGGGTAGATGAGCCTTGTAGGGAAATCCAAAAGGCTTTGGCTGTGATTGTTGAACCTACAATTTGCATAAGCCCTCTAACTAACCATCCAGAAGTAAAGGTCCAGATTGGAGATGGCATCCAATAAATAAATAGCCCTTTGCCTGCTTGATTTTGTCCCCCAGGAACTATACTGTAAAAATTTGATAATTTGGTTTGAATGAAAATGCCAGGCCATTCTTAGATGGGGCTAGGATTTGAAGCGGCTGCATCTTCAGATATGATTTCCTTTTCAGATCCATGCAAACTGTCGCATCCGCAGAATTTACTTCTCTGACAGACTTTACTCTGAGGACGAGCTTCCTGCTGAGTTCAAACTTTACATTCCTGTCCAGAACAAGGCAAAGGTGAGCAGGTGGGGGGGGAATGAGATGTTCTCTTTCATGAAGAGTCCTACAGCTGCGGCTCTCGTTAGGGCAGTTGGGGGTGAGAGACCTGTTGTATATTTGCATTTGGTGCTCTCAGCAAAAAATGCCTCTGAGGCCAAGAAATTGCTTGCTCTCTGTGGAAGTTGGTACCTTGCTTGTGTTCCCAAAATAAATTCTGGAAGGGCTCCCTTTTTTGCCAATGTTCAGACACTGCTGAGTGCAGGAATTCACTCGGAAGCTTCTCCCCAGAGAGGAGTGGCAGTTTAGCCCCCGTTCGAACCCATCGACTGAAAAAGAGACCAGACTTCTCTTAGTTCCCCCATTGAGCTGCTCTCCCCATTAGAATGTTTTTTTCCTAGCATTCAGCATTTGAGGGGGGCATCTTAGGAAAGGAGTTGGTCTCCCACAGTCTGTGGGCACCGCTGCTGTTGTGAGAATGTGTCCACTTCCGCAGGCCACATTTCAAACCCCGGTTTCATTGTGGTTGGGCACCATGTTCCCAACAAATCCTGCCTTGTATTTCTAGAAATGTATGCTGCCCAAAGAGTTGACTTTTTCTGTCCAGGTAAAAGTTTGCTACGTGTCTATTGAATAACATTGTCTCTTTGCACGTGTTGCCCAATGCAGCAATGATGGCGTGATGGGAAGCCTCCGGCAGAAACAGTGTGAAGATGCTGATGGAAGAGTATTTTTTTAAAATTAGAAACAAAACGTAGGCGTGGATTTCCTGGAGTAACTCTATTTAATAATAACAGTTGGTATCTGTGATGCTGGGACCAAACAAAACAAAATATATCATTGTTCCGTGTGAGAGATGAATCGGGCTCCACTTTGAAGTTGTGGATCACTCCTAGGGAGACCATGAATCGTGGAACTGATTTGCCTGGCAAGTGGAGGGTTTTGTTGAAGCAGTTCTGAAACCCTGGTGCCCACACAGATGCCAGTGGTTTCCTTCTTTGCTCTGTCTCTGTGTTTGCCCTAAGTGCGTGTGAGCTTCTCTTGTCCTGGAAGCTGCTATTAAATATTTGATTTTCTTTGTAAGCCTGTGCTTGGTCTCTCTTGGCCATTTGGAGCCCAAGGTTCCTCCCTGCCAGCGCAGCGTAAAAGCACAGGTTTCCAGCTTCTCTGTACCCCAAGGGTAGGGTCGGGGCCCACAGATCGTGCTAAGCCATTGTACATTTTGCATACATGTGACCCTCCTGAGTCACAGAAACGGGCATTTTATGGATTGGAAAAGCAAAGGGATCTCTGTCTTTGAGGAGACCTGAGGGGCAGGGCTGCTACTAGTCCACCTAGAGCACAGGGGTCAAACCTGCCACATCACGTTGCCGTCACATGATGTTTTGCTACCTTTTTCACATGGGCAGAGGTGGGGTGGGCACAGCCTGCATGTGACGGATCTAGCTGGTGGGCCGCCAGTTTGACCCCCGCTGGTCTAGAGGATAGCCAGGCCCCGAGAAGAAGCCGGGCGGCTCCATCCCTCATAGTTTTGCTGAGCTCCCAAGGATGAGCAGCAGGTGGCGCTATAGGAAGGGCCCTTGCCAGCCTAGAAGAGATTCTGTCTGCAGCTCTTCTTGGGACCAGTGGATGTTTTCCCAGCAGGAGGAGGGAATGGCATTTGCATACCGATTCTCCCCGATATAATGGGAGATGCTGTTTAAACTTTGCTCTTTAATTCATCAAGGGACCATCCCAGGTGGCTCGGCTTGGCTTCTGCTACAGACACGTGACAAGGGACAGAGCTGGTCGATTTTTGTCTTGGTCAGCTTTTGGTTTGCAGCAAGATCAGGGCTTGGATGAGAGGGAACTTTCTGATAAAAAGTTGACCAAATCCAGTGTTGACTGACCGGGATCACTTTGGTTTGGTTTGGTTTGATTGGTTGATTCATATGTTGCAGCCAATAACAAATAAAGGTATAACTAGAAGCCAGCATGGGTTTGTTAAAAACAGATCTTACTAAACCATTCTTATTTCATTCTTTGACGAAGTAACAAAATGAGTAGATCAGCGAAATGCTGTGGACATAGTATACTTCGATTTCAGTAAGGCATTCGACAAAGTAGACTACAACCTACTTCTTGGTAAGCTAGAAAAATGTGGGATAGGTAGCATCCCTACCAAATGGATTCGCAACTGGCTGACAAACCATGCTCAAAAAGTAATCCTTAATGGTGCTACATCTACATGGAGGGAAGTAAGCAGTGGGGTACCACAAGGTTCCATCTTAGGCCCAACACTCTTCAACATCTTCATAGAAGACTTAGATGAGGGGAATAGAAGGGGAACTCATTAAATTTGCAGATGACACTAAGCTGGCAGGAATAGCCAACACCACAGAAGAAAAGCTCAGGATCCAAAAGGATTTTGACAGACTTGAACAATGGGCCCTATCTAACAAAATAAAATTCAATGTATAGAAAAATAAGGTTTTACACATAGGCAGGAAAAACCAAAGGTACAAATACAGATTAGGTGAAATCTGGCTCAAAAACAGTAACTGAGGGGGACCTTGGAGTCCTAGTGGACAATTACTTAAACATGAGCCAGCGGTGGTAGCCAAAAATGCTAATGCAATTCTTGGTTGTGTAAGCAGGCATAGAATCAAAATCATGTGGAGTATTAGTACCGCTTTATAAAACATGAGTAAGAGCACACTTGGAATACTGCATCCAGTTTTGATCACCACATTACAAAAAGGGTGTTGAAACTGGAAAAAGTGCAAAGAAATGACCTCCTAAAGGCTAAAACATGGAGAACGGTTGCAAGAATTAGGAATGTCCAGTCTAGAGAAAAGAAGGACTAGGGGTGACATGATAACCATCTTCCAGTATTTGAGGGTCTGCCCCAAAGAAGAGGGAGTCAAATTATTCTCCAAAGCACCCGAAGGGCAAGACAAGAAAGAATGGATGGAAACTAATCAAGGAGAGAAGCAACCTGGAATTAAGGAGAAACTGCCGAACAGCGAGGACAATTAATCCGCTTGGTTTAATCAGCTGAAGTTTGCTTTTAGAGATTAGTGGGTTCTTCATCACTGGAGGTTTTTAAGAAGAGACCGGACAGCCACTTGTCTGAAATGGTAGAGGGGCTGGACTAGAAGACCTCCAAGGTCCCTTCCAGCTCTGCTCTATAATTTATGGTTTATGATTTACAAAGCAGAATAGCTGGATTCACAACATGCCAACCGAAGGTTAAGCTTCACTAGAGCTTTGCCGTGGTGAGGTCGGGGTTGCTGGTAGCATCAGAGCTGGGGGTGTGATGAATGGCTTTTACACAGAGAAGAGCAAAGCCACAGATCCTTGCCAGAGACTACAGGAAGCTGTTGGTACGGCAGAGCATCTCCTCGGCCAGGCCAGGCCTGAGCCTCCATCCTGCATTGGGCTCGTAAGCGCTTTGGGGTTGAGGGAAGGGGGCCATCCAGCCGGGCTGAGCTCCTTGGTGCAGATTTGAGAAAGGGAGGCAGTCCAGCACAATTTGCAAGGTCCTGTCACTAACAACACTTCCAACAATGTGTGGCGTGGATTTCCTGGTCTGGTCCCCTTTGGGCCAAGGACGTGCGCTGAACGTCTGGCCATCCAGCTGCACCCGCCCACCCAGGCCTCCTGCAGGCAGAGGGGAGTCACAGGGAAGGTTGGCAGGCTGGTACCCCGCTTTGGGCAGGTGGGCTGGCCAGACAAATGAAGCACAGGGAGCCCTTACAGCAGATCACTTAGTGGCCCTTCCAAGTCACAACGGCCCTGGAAAAAAGACAGGACTGTTTTTCACACGGCCGTTGCTGCAAACCCCTGATCACGTCATCAAGATTCAGGCCAACTCATGCTTATGGCAGCCACAGTGTCCTGCGATCATGTGATCCCCTAACCTGGCAAGCAACTGGGAAAGCCAGATTCATTTAACAACCTCATAACAACTGCAGTGATTCACTTAACAACGGTGGCAAGAAAGATTGTCAAGTGGGGAAAACTTAACAGAAAATTTGGGCTCCATTGTCATAAGTTGAAGATTACCTGTATAAGATGCGCACCTGCCAGCTGTCAATGGCCAGGGAGTGAGTTGCTGGAAGTTGTCTTGATTCAGGTGCTCCCTGGGTGTCTCTCTCGAAGGGCTGCTCAACCTCCCCCCTCGTGTGTCTGCCAGAGGCTGTGCGGAAGACGAGGCCATTGCAAGCAGGGCAGGAAACAAGCCACCAAAGGAGACCAAGCAGCCGGTCTCCAGAGATGAGGGAGCCTGGTTTCTGGCTGGACTCACGCCTGGTTCTGGCTTGGGTAGAGCCACTGTGGTGTGGTGGTGAAGGTGCCACCCTAGAAATGGGCGGAGCGTGAATTCTAGTCTCGCCACGGGCACAAAGCCAGCGAGTGATGTTGGGCCAGTCCCGCTCAGCCCTGCAAAGGAGGCAGGTGAGCCACTTCCCCGAAACCTTGCTAAGAAACCTGCAGAGATTCATCCAGGAGTCAAAAAGCCAAAATCAAATCCCGTGTGGTTTTGGCCTCCCGCCCTCCCTCCAGGCTGAAGTGTGGGAGCCCAGGAGTTCTGTCTATTTATGCGAGGGGACAACCAACCACACGTGGCTTTGAGCAATGTACCCTCAGGCCTTTTGTCGAGAAGGTTTCCCTTTTAGCGTGGAAAAAGCCAAAGAAGAAAACGTGACAAAGATGGCCCAGGTTTGGTGCCGGGGCAGGGGGAAAATTAGTCAAAGGGCTGCAGTCTAAATGCCACCAAAATAGAATCCCACCACCCCACCCGACCCGCTTCCTCAACGCTTTTTCTGCTGAGTGGAAAGAGAGGTGAATGTCATGAAGGGGCCATGAGAACTTTGCGCGGATTTTTCCCTGCCAAAGAAGTGCAGCCGCCCTTCTGGAAGGGATGAGTGGGGCAGTTTTCTGTCAGTTGAAGTGGCCACCAGGTGGCGCTCTTCAGGTGTGTCCCTTGAGCCTGTCCAAGGGAGCCGGTTGCTCCTCCTGCAAGTTCTTCCAAGCCTCCCACTTCCAAACCCAGGAGCAGGGCCCCTTCCCCTCGCCTTCCCAGTGCTGGGCGCAGGCTTCGGCCTCTCCTGCTGGGCTCCCAGGGCTCACAAGGGCAACCGTCCTGATGGCTGGTCAAGGGAAAGGCCTGAAAAACCTCCCGGGGGGAGGGAGGGAGGGAGGGAGGGTCAGCAGTGATTCTCTCCAGGGCTGCGTCATCAGCTTCTTCTCTGCTTGGCTAGGAGTGGTCCAGGGTGGAAACGGCCGGCAGCCTCTCGCCAAGGCCTGCGTGGGTTGGTGGAAAGCTGCTCTGGAGCCCAAGTGCAGCCGCCCTGGGAAAGGCTTCTTGGTTCCTGAGCTCCCAGCAGATGTCTGAGAACCGTTCTGATTAGCACCGTGCAGGGAGAACATTGTGGCTGTCTTCACACCACAGGTCCCAAATCACAGGTACACGCTGAAGTCAATGGAGGCTGCCAGGCCAGGGTTCTGGGTCAAGCCAGCCTGCCTTGTGGGTCAGCTCCCTGGAGGAATCCAAACAGGTCTGTGGTGTGGAAGGTCAAGGATTTCAACGCTGAGGGTCAGAGTGTTCTGTCACTGGAGGCTTTTAAGAAGGGACCAGACACGGCCTGAGGTTAAATGCCTCCAAGATCCTTTCCAACGCTGTCGTTCTCTTATTCAGAGTCACTTGGTTGAGCTGGGTGGCTGTAGAAATGGAGTAAAATAAAATTTGGACCTGGAAACAACTAAAAGCAAATTTGTGTTCACAGAGTGTACTTTTTCGTTAATGTTAAATATATGTTAATTATAAGGGAATGTAATTAGTAAAAATGGCATCCTATTGGCAGAGAATGCCAACCCGTAACTTGTGAAGGGGAGGTTTCTGGTCCTCTGATGGGAGCTAGAAACGTTTATTGTTCGATCTCTTCTTGAAACCCTCCAGTGATGGAGCAACCACAACTTCTGGACGGAAGCCATTCCGATGATAATGGTTCTCACCTTTGGACGGAGACGGGGGAAACACCCACAGGTGGCAGCTGTGGGGCCCCAGGCCTTCCTCCTGCCAAGGCTGACCTGCCAGCTCC